TTGCATCTTTTTCCCCCAAAATACTTCGCTCAGTATTGTTTACCAAGTTTGAATTACCTGAAGTTGAATCTTGTAATGAATCCTGCGGTAAATCTTGCGATACGCGTTCTGTTTCTATTTCTATGTTTCTTGTTTTGTTTGCTTTTTTTTTGTTTTTTTTCTTGTTCTTTCTGTAATTTTTGTTTTAGAACTCTTTTTATTTTTTTTATTGGTTTGTAACTCTCGTGGTATGTGGTCACTCATAATAAATATGAGGAAATAATAAAAAAATCATACAACGAAAACAAAAAAAAAATTATCAAGTAAATTCCAAAGATAGATCCTTTCAATGGTCAAATACAAACGGAATTATAAATTTCGAAATTTTTTATTTAATTTTAAATATTTACAAGTAAATTTGTTTTATTTTTTTGTTTTAGTTAGAACGGTAACGCGTGTTGAACAAACATCGTGAAATCGTGTCATATTAATCAGTTGATATACAATCTATATCCGGATATATCTGAATATCATCTGGATAATGCGGATATCCGGGTATTATCAGATATCTGTTGGATTATCCAGATATCCAAAATTTTATATCCGTTCAATCCGGATATTCGAATATCTGTTGGATATTCATTTTTAACGAATAACGGATATAAACTCTAATGGTTTAAAAATTTGTGTGTCATGTTTGTTGAGAATATTTTTGTTAAGGAGTGTGGTTTAGAGATCATGACAGGATCTGAGTAACTTATTGAGTATAGGAGTAAACTCTGAAATATGTTGTTGTTGTTTTTGACAAATAAAGACTAGTTGTTCATTTGTTTGTTTTTGTAACTGAACGGTGCAAAGATCGGTATTAATGTGTGAGTATTTTTGGTCTACTTCAGTAGCAGAATCAGGTAGATTGTTATTAAAATCATCTGCCTCAGCAGGAGTGACGACTTGGATGTGAAGGGTTTTTTCAACGACGGTAAGACATTGTTGTGAAAATTTGAATTCAACATAAAGGTTAGAGAGAGCGTTAGAAATTGAAGTAAGCTGAGAAGTGACGAACTGTTTAAAGTCTGGATTATAAATCAAACTACCTTTTGCAGTACCATTATCTAGTTTTGGGGTAGAAAGAACTTCAGTTTCCATGAATTCATCTATGAGATCATCTGTTCATTACAATTTCAGTTTAGTATTAAAAGATTTATTAGAAGATGTATTATCTTTGGATTTAGGTGGTAGAGGTGGGGAGGTCTTCTTTTGGGACCTTCTTGAGAATTATTAATTGGTTGCAGGGTCTTGATCACATGCGCGAAAGTAATGTTTTCACGAATAACGCCTTGTATCAGACTACGTTTTAGTGCAGTGTAGTTATTGAATTAGGCAGGTTGAAATCGCTGATAATGCAGACGAACAAACAGCACAAAGTTTGACTTTTGGGTCAGTCCATTCCAGTTTTTTATTGTTTAAAGTCAGATTCTTAATTCCCATAACGGCCTGAGTATCTTCTCTATTGGAAAAATAGAAGAATGCGTGTTGTAGATAATTGTAATTAAAGCAGGCTCTAGGAATGATCCACGCAGTAGCAGAGACTATATTTCCAATATCCTGAAGGTCACGTAATGTAATATTACAAGGAAGGTTAATGAGTTTTGCTAAAAAAGCTGAATGAGCTTGAATGTCAGGTCTAGAAAGGCTATAGGGGTAATAACAGATCATATCGTTTAAAAGATAAATTTTGTCTCCTTTTTTTAATTCTTCGAAGTTGGCCTTTTTGTCAAAGGTGATTGTGACTCTTTATCAAAGGTTTTTTGTTTCTATAGTGAAACGGATAATGTTGCCAAATTTGGAAAATAATTTACGTAATCTTGTTTCTGTGGTATTCAGGAAATTTCTGTGACCATGATCGACTGATCGGATACATAAGGGCAGATTTTTTTATGTCTAATAGTTGGAATGTGGTATTGTTCATATCGAAAGATTTGAAGATGTAAAAATCATCACTAGCTTGATTGTGATCAATGAAATGTTTTCCTTTTGTGACACTGATGAATGAGTTGTACTTGTCATAGCACAGATCAGTGATCTTTAAGATCTTCATTTGAGGGTTTAGTCCACAGAGTTTATCCACTTGGATATACGCAAAAAATTTGATGACTTTAGTTGAGGATGCTTTAAAGCTGAGAGTCGAAGTATTTAAAACATTTTCTGATGCGTCGAAGGACTTGTTGACACTTATAATAGGTTTTAGTGAAGTTATTTCTAATGTTGTGGTAGTAATCTCAAGGTTTTTACCTTTATTAAGGTTGTTAGTCGAACTTTCCTTGACTGGATCAACTTTCATTATGCCAGTGTCTTCTGGAAGGACAGTTGTAATAGGTTCTGTTACATATGTTTCAGAGAGGTCGTTGTCTAAAGTTTGATTTGTATTTTGTTTCTTTTTTGGTAGCTTGTCAGTTATTGGCGATGTAGAATGACCACGGTTGGTATTCTTCCTTTCGTTTTTTCTTGGCATTTTGGTAGATTGTTGGAAAGGCAGAAAGAGTTTTCTCATCTTCTTCATATAATAATGCAAGATTATTTTGTGTTTCAATAACTCCTTTTTCAGCTGCCTTTTTATACAAATAAAATGTTTTCTCAATTTTTTTCCATTTTATTATTTTCTTTATATAATAATATAAGATTATTTTGTATTACTTAATTATTATCTTCTATTGCTTTTTGACACCAATTATCATTTTCATATAATAATATAAGATTTTTTTGTGCTATTTTATTACCATTTTTTACAGCTTTTTGATATCAATAAATAGCTTTTTGACAATTTTTTTTGTTCCTTTACCTTTTTCATATAATAAAGCAAGATTATTTTGTGCTCTATCATATTCTTTTCTAGCTACTTTACTATATAATTCAAATGCTTTTGCTTTATTAATATCAGTTCCAATCCCAAATTCATAACAATAACCAAGTTGAAATTGTGCATCTACATATTCATTTTTTGATGATTGATTATAATATTGAAAAGAATTAACATCATTTTTTTGAACATTTCTTCCCAATCTATAACATTCACTAAGATTATATTGTGCAACTTTATTTTCATTTTTTGCTGCATTATCATACCAATTAATAGCTTTTTTTAAATCCATTCCTACTCCTTGACCGGTTTCATATAAATAACCAGTAATAACTTGCGCCTTATCATATCCTTTTTTAACTAAATCTTTATATATATTAAATGCCTTTTTTTATTAACATCAGTTCCAATTCCAAAATAATAACAAATTCCAAGTCTATATGTTCCACTTATATGATTTTTTTCTGATAATTTCATATATTTTTCAAATGCTTTATTTTTATCTTGTTTTACTCCTATTCCTAACTCATGACATCTTTCCATATTGTATGTTCCACTTAAATTTCCATTGTTAGCCGCCCTTTGATAATAGCAAGTAGCTTGCTTTAAATCCTTATTTTCTTCATAATAAATGCCAAGATTAAGTAGTCCACAAATACTTTTATTTTTTACAGCTTGCTGTAATCAATCAAATGCTAAATTATTATTTATTTCGATTCCAATCCCTTCCTTATAACATTTTGCAAGATAAACTTGCGCAATAGGATAGTCATCTTTCGAAGCTCTTAAAAACAATTTGAATGCTTCATAATCATTTTTCTCATAGTTAAAATAAAAAAATCCCAAGAAGAAAACTTGCTTTGATTTTGCTTGAGTCATTTTAACGTTAAGCCATTTAAAGATATCATTTGAAGAATGATTCGAACGAATTATACATCGATTAATAAAATGCTTTGTTTCCTTAAAATCATTACCTTCATCATGTGACTGAATTAACAGTGCAATTAACTTGTCAATAAACATATCGATACCAACTTCTTTACCATAACTTTCCAAAATTAACGTTTCAGCTTGGTTGGATATATGGGCGTACATTCATTATCTATTGATTTTTAAATCATAATCTTTAATTAATTTGCTTATATATAAAGAATTATTGCTGTGCGTGCATGAATTTTCTACCGACGCCGGATTGGACAGCTTATCTTTTAACAATTCTAACTTATTTTCTGTGTGAATAGGATGGTTATTTTTTTCAAAACTTATTACACTAATTGATTTGACAACATCATGCATTGTAGGACGTTCATCCGGATTATCTTTCCAACATTCTAATAAAATTAAAAATGAAGTGGGTAATTTAAATAATTATGCGTAAAAAATAAATGAACAAGTTAATAATACTTGCCTTTATATAAGTTGCTATATTCAATAGGTGTACTCTAAACATTACTTTCTCTCTCGCCCCTTTTGATCCTTATAGCTAAGTTTATATCATATTTTACGGTATAAAAAGGTCGACGACCACTTGAAATTTGCCAAAGAACAACTCCAACACTGTATAAATCGGACTTTGTATTTAATACATAATTTTTATCTTCATTTTTATTATTCAAATATTTTGGATCGACATAAGGAAGAACACCAAACACAGCTTCTGAAGATGCATCGGTTATCTTTCGTGATAAACCAAAATATGCCAACTTTATATTATTCTGATTTACAAGTAAATTTTGTGCATGCTATATAAATTTTTAGTTAGAAGTAGACAAAATGATTTGAAAACAAAAAATATTTTAAATGAACCTTCACATTACCAAATCACAATGAATAATTCCTTCGGTGTGCAGACACGCTACAGCATTTACAAGTTGGAATGCTAATCGATATTTATCACACCATTCTAACCTATTAAAGTTTTCTTTCAAATAAGTTTGTAATAACCACTGTCAGCGTACTCCATAACCAATAAATACTTGTTTGACAATTTCGTTTCGAATTTTGATATCCCATAAAATTTTATGATATTTGCATGATAATCCACTTCTCGTTGCATTTTTATCTGATAATTATTTTTTTTTTTTAAAAAAAAAAAAAAGAAGTTATTAATGATATAAAAAAAATCACACTTTCAAAATTTGTAATAGTTTTTTACCTCATTAACAATTCCTTTAATATTTAAGTAAAATGAATGTTTTAAAGCCAAAATAGTATCGGTATCTTTCCAGTTCGCACGAACAACTTTTCCATTAGAATTTTCACTGATTACTTTCACACCACCAAAGTTTTTATAATCATAGTATTTGACATAATTTTCTGATACTGCCTTCTCTAACCAATCATAATTTATTTGTTCTATTGATGTTTGCATGTTTTTATATTTTATTTTTTATTTTATTGCGATGAAAAAAAAAAAAAAAATCCTTCAAAAAAAAATTTTCGTATATTGTTAACTAGTTTTAACGGTTTTTTATCGGATTTCTAAGGGTTTTGAATTTGTATATTTTTAGAGTTATATAGAAAACATCAACGTGATCAGCAGAGTATGAAACAAAAAGTCCATACTTGTAGGGTTTTACATACATTCAGGTTTGCTACACACAAAATATTTATCATTTATAAAATTTTTTTCCTTCCATGTAATTCAATTAGATAGTGATTTTTAAATATTCTCTCACACGACAAAAAATAATTTTTTTAATTGGGGGACATTGTTGTTCTAGTTCGGTTAGTTTAGATTTTGGTTAGACAATGCAAATCATTTAAATCATTTGCTAATTTGTCATTCCGGCGCTAATATAAAAATGGAGGGTTCAGGTTGATAAGAAAGTTTTTGTTTAGAATTTTCCTACATTGTTAACGATAACAAAATCTTAATAATAAACATAGTTTATAACTAATAAACATAAAGAATTGAGCGTAACATTAGCCTATAGCTTGCGCTGAAAGATTTCGCTTATAATAAGTAAAAAATTTTTTAACTTCACGTTATGCAAGAATGCAAGATTTACCGTTTTTTCCTTATATTAATTTCTCCATTCCGAAAAAAGAACGGATAGCTTCAGTTCCATCACATATCTAGACAAATCATCACATAATTTTTTCAACCAAATCACATGCGAAAAGTTTTGCTTAACTAGATTTAGTTATATAAAATTTTGTACCTCTAGCTTTTTAAATAAAATGAACAATGAATAAATATTTCGTATTATACGTTGTGTCTTGTGTTTCATGATAATTTTTTTTACATGTTTAATTTTTTTTTTCTTTGCATAATGTCAAAAGTAAACAACTTAATGAACCTACTAACAAATAAGATGAACCTTTAAAAAAAAAAATGAAAATCTCTTACAACTGCAAAAAAAAAAGAACTTTGTTTGAAAAAAATATCATCACCTTTTTTAAAACAAAAAGACTTGGCTAATGAATATGACGTTAGTGAAGGCATGGTTAGTGACATTTTAAAGGAGAAAGACCATTGGCTTTCTGTGGATTCCAATTCATACCAAGCCAATTTGAAACATAATAAGAAACTCCATTCTCTCTCGTTGAAGAAGCATTAGCAATTTGGGTAGATAACACACTCAAAGCTAGCCTCATTATTATAGATGATATTCTTTCAACAAAAGCCTTGAGTTTTGCTTTTTTATTAAAGGAGGATAAGTTTAAAGGATCAAGTGGTTGGGTGGATAACTTTAAAAAATGACACAACAGGGAAGCCACAAATGTGTCACTCAAAAATCTTGAAATAATGAGAGAGAATCTCTAACAAATATTAAAAGATTATAGTCCTAAAGATATATTCAATTGTGACGAAATAGTACTTTTTTGAAAGATGAAACCATATCAAACGATATCGAACGATATCTAACAAACAAACATCAGAAATGAAACAATCAAAGGATTGTGTAATGATCCTACTCATGTGCAATACAATGGGAAATGAAAAGCTGACACCTTTATTCATACACAAGTATGAAATTCTAGGGTTATTAAGAATATTAATAAAAGAACGCTTCTGGTCAAATACTATTGGAACCTAAAAAGTTGGATGCAGGTTTCAATCTGGAATAATTACATAAAAAAACTTGATACAAAAATGAGAAGACAAAATCAGAAAATTCTCCTTGTGAATAATGCTTTGATATATGCTTTTTATGAAATCACTTGCCTGACTAATATCACTATTCAATCCTTCCTTTCAAATACTACTGTACACCTTTAACCTTGTGATCAAAATATTATAAATAGTTTTAAGGTGAGAAATGTAATTGATTTAATAATTCTTTAATTAAAATATAATTGACATTAACTTTATTTATATTTAATTTTAATTCAACTCATTTTAGGCATAATATCAAAAGTTATATTTACAAATTAGGTCAAAGCTTTTGATAAATTTAATGAATACCATATTAAATCCTCTAAAATTAATATTAAAAATGTATAAAATACATTTCACAAGCATAAAATAATATTACAAA